AAAAGAAGCAATGGACTACGACTACGTGTTCAGCCATCTTGCTTGGAGGTTTTCTTTTCACTGTCCTCAGGTACAATGACCTTTATAACGTGTACACACCACGATACGCGTATGAAGTTACCTAAGCTCAGTCCAGGTAAATGTATCCCACAGAATTTCTTACCATATCAAAACCGGATTCAACTGTTACACAGAGAGTGAAAAAAACAAAACATTTGAAGTAATGCACCTTCAAGATATGATCTGTCGCTGAGTAACCGTGCGACGCACGTGAACTTGATCTTCACGTGTTGTCAGAACAATCGTCCACTCGTTTTCTAATAATATTAATTGTAGATGAAAAGACTGTGTTACATAATCCCATGAAAATGGACCAACTTCACGTTTGCTTTGAAGTAATACAAAAAGGGAAATATGTGCTTACGTGTAATACAATTTAAGGCAAAGTATACTCTAAAGGTAAATGTTGCTTTTCAATTGCTTGGATTTACGTATTGTTCTCCTTTCTGTTTACAAATTACCTACGTGTGTTAACTTTCGTTATAGTCACATAATTTCTTGATAATTCAATTATGGTTATTTAGTTTATTTATTATTTATTTCTTGTGTTGAAACTGTAATTGGCTACCTAGCTGTTGATGCAGAACACAAAAAAAATAAAGAACTTAATAATATTTAAGCGATTAATAATAAATGTTTGCTAAATAATTTGTACTAAATATTCCAATTACTCCTTTTGACTTAATCCTTCCAGATTTCAAATAAGACTGGAAGGATGCTCTCTAGTTTACACATAATGGATTTTCCATTACAATTCTTCCTATGGACCCGCGATGTATTCCTACCTCACGCTAGAGCCTAAAGAACAACTTCTTTTAGGCAGCTTAAATTTAGAAAGATAAACAGAAGAAATTCGTAATTGCCCAAACTGAATTCGAATGCAAAACTCCCGAGTTCGAAATTAGAGGTCTGCAGCGTCCCCCGCCATCTACATTCGACAACCTGCAACTAAAGTGGATAGTCTGCATATTCGAAGGCCCGTGTTGCTGACGGAACAGCTGTCTCAGCTATCCACCTTAATTAAGCTGAGTCGCTCCTTCTCGGAGGACTTAAAAGAGCCGACGAAGTCCTGCTGCTGCCAAGTCCAAACTGTGAACAAAGCATAGGGCTCATAAAGACACACTAGAAAACTGTTCTAATTTTTAGAAACCCGTTTACAGGTCACAATTTGTGTAATCCATAATTACAGTTCTGTTCAAACGTTAATCCTTCATTATTGCATCACGGAAAACAACTCAAACGTAAATACAGACTTAGTAGTAGTATGTATCAGTGGTGAAAATAACGTTCAAGAAGCTATATTTAAATAATTTTAAACATATCGTTCATCAAAACTGTAGAAAAGCTGATGTTATGTCATTCGCTTTCTGACCTGAATTTTTTTTTTTCAAAAATGTCGAGGAAAACGAAAATTGAAAAGCTACATACAGACAGGACAGAACTTCAACACCAGACCTTACATCCTAACACATAGCAAACTTGGTACATACAAAAATTAATCTAAGTTAGTGTGTCAGCAAATGAAGATAATGATCATGTCTGAACTTGAGAAGTAGGATTTGAATCTGGACTAAGGAATAGACCTTTCTGTGCGTTCTGCATCAACGACCATCATCCTACTCGTCATTGTATCCTCCACTCGTACAGGATGTTGTGGTCTGGGAGAAGGTTGTTCTCGTCTGAGGAATCCTAGGATGATTCTTAGTATCGGAAAACCTCGGAAAATCAGACAGAAATTCGCTGTGAAAATAGAGAAACTGAAAACAAATCTAATAGTAAAATTTCAGCTAAATATGCATTTCATGTCTAAATTTAGCTATGTTATTCTATGAATAATGGAGAAGTCGAGTAACTAAGTAGACCAAGCCTTCAGTACCTGCATGTGTCAACCAGACAGTCTTCTGTATCTATTTACCTCCATTACAGATGCTACTGTTTATTTAAATAGGTATATGCATCATCTGAAACTTTTTCATCTCTGTTTGACGTACTCATGTATGATTCAAGCGAAGCTGAATCCTTTGTCACACAGTTTCGTCACTACCAGTCTGAAGTGGACTGTTCTACTTCTTCTTGTCACTGTGTGACCCAGCGGAGAGGTGAGATGTCTGACTGTTTTAACTTCAAAATTACATCGAACGTATTTCTCCGGAATTTGAACAGAAACCACTAGGAATACCAACGTTTAGATGGGGAGAATATTTAAATTGATATTATAGGTTTAGATGGGGATAATATTGAAATTGATATTATACAAATAGAATTTAATAAAGTAGAGTGGATTCATGGCTCGGGACATGGCTCAATGAGTAAAAAATTAACCTTCGTATTCCATAAAATGATCGAAATTTCTTGAGTAGTTAAGTTTCGCAAGAACTCTGATGTAAGTATGGAGCTCGCTACTACAATGACTTTAAAGTATAATGAAGTAAGAAATAGATTAATATTCTAAATAAATTACACACAAATTTTATATTTATTGCCTTAAGTTTTTGTTAAGTAGACCTATTTAAAACATGGCGCAATGATTTCGACGGGCAGGGATTTAAATCGAGAAACACTGTAATTTCATTTTAACAGCAGGGGCTAGTATACTTGCCATTTAAAATATTACCACTGGTCTTCAGTGTCTCGGTAAATGTAGGTTGTGTACGCTTATTACAACGCACTCAAGCGTCGGTTTATATTGTCGATACAAGAACAAGAATCAAAATTCCGTGACGACACATGCTGTTCTGTGATAAAATCTACCAAGATAAGATGTTAGTGCTGGTAAATATATCATGCAAATCGTTATATGTGAGACACGGAAATTAAGCAACCGGTTTCTTTGAGTACTAGACTGTAAATATATTTAAATAAAAATATTCTTGGATGTTATCAATCGACTCATAAAATAATAAAATTGAACGACGTACTTTATTATTTTATTATACGATGGATAACATCCAAGAAACTTTTTATTTAAATAACTCACCATCGTCACAAAATTTTAGATTTGAGATGCAAATATATTATTCATAAATCGTCGCCTTTTGGTTATGCCTGTCTTCTGGGTTGTAGCGCCGTGAGAATATCAAATCCTAGCTACGTACTTACATAATATTGTATATTTCAAGCTCTCGATGTTTACAGAGTAACTCAAAATGTACCTACCAGGTTTAACGCCTTATCTCACCTCAATGATAAAGCATAGAAATCTCATTCTAATATCACCGAAATCACCATCTCAAGTCATTTACATTACGAGGCGTTAATGATGATACGAAAATGAAGAAACAAATGTCATTCATACGGATAGTCATAAAATGGGCTGATTTATCCAGAGTTATTGATGCAAGAGAGGCAAACTTTCACACACACACACGGACTTGATTAAACTGGCTTCTCTTTGTATATTGCAGGCGGTAGCCTATAAAGTAATTTAATCCCTTAATTTTTGTGGGTGTTAAACAAGGCAGAAGAAAAACAAAGGAAAAATAATATTTATTACGCAACACATCACGTTATGGAATACAAATTTTATGGGATGCTGTATACTACTTGTGTCATTTCCCGTATAAAATAAGCGAGATTTTATTTTAATCGTGTAGGCCGGGCTAACGCAGCTAACACGGATAACAAGAACGCCCTACCCCTACTGAGTTCTGAGTAACATTATTATCAAGTTGGAAGATGAGAGACACGTGATGTAGTGCTTCAGCGGATATTTCAAAACTGATATTGTCGGATATCAGAGGAAATTGACCTTAAAAAATTGTAAATGAATAGGTCGAATATGTTACATACTAACTGACTAATCGAAATTTTAAAGCATTAAGCTTGTTTAAATATTATTTTAAAAATCCATTTCCTAACTCAAAGAAATCAAGAATAGGCTACAAGTAATTTATACATAGTTAGCATAAACTGAATTAATTCGGCCATCATTTCCAATTCGACTTTTACACGCCATCTTAGCAAGCAGATTTAGCTCCATGTTAACGTACATGAATAGCATCTGGAGTACCTGGTATCGAAACCAGGCCAGGGTCGAGTATCCTGTCTGAGGGATTTCAGGGCCCATTCTTCTTTGCTATACAGAGACGTTACTTTAGTGCCAAAAAATATGCCACAGTTCTTTACTGTTAATCATGTCACATAGCGTGTGAAGATGATAGACCGAAGATTTTCTTCAGGCCTAAAGATTGAGATAGTGTGATCCTAAAAAGATGTTGGTGTCTACTTACAAGTCCACATAGCGTCATTTCGACCTGACATGAACATATCAATAAATGCAATGGTTACATCACTTTAATAAAGGAGGTTGACTAATTAGTGGAATAATAAATTTAACTAGGAAAATTCTCGACTAAACTTTGTTGCGCCTATAAATTCTTGCAGGGAATTCAATGTAAGACTCCTGAAATTATTTTTTTTATTCAGGGCAAACTGTCCCATGCAGGAAAACTGAAACATTCCAATCTACTGTCCTATGCTTGCAGAAAACAAACGTTTCTATTTTTTATTGAAAAAAAAAACAATGCTTACAATAAATAAACAAGTCAAAAAGAATAAATTTAAAATAAGAAGAGTCTCTGAAGACTGGAAGCAGGCTTCAAAATTTGTGCCGTCTCTGATTTGGCGGAACATTAATTATTATTACTTCCGTTTTCGATGAAAACTGTGATTCGGTATTCATATTTCAGATAAAGAGGAAAAGTTTCGACAAACCGCACCATCAGCTTGTTCCGGTATGCCAACGTCGTCCGGGGCTCCGGTTCAGTTCAATACTTCACGGCGTGGCGAGACGTGAAGGGAGGGGAGGGGACAGATGCAGACGGCGTCGACGCTGGAAGAAGGGTAGCAGAAGCAAGGGGAGCGCCGGCTAGACAGGCGGAACAACGCACGGCGCTAGTCAAAAGAGACACCGAAATAAATCAAAATTGTACTCAAAAACCTTTCGATATTCCTCCTTTTGTCATTGTTGTTATATTTAGCTGGGCAACTTAAAATTGTTTAATTTTAGCTGAGATATCAGTGACGAGAGAGAGAGAGAGAGAGGCTGAAGTCGGATGATATCACCGCAATACAATTTGTGGTTATATTTGGTAACAGCAGCGGACGTATATCAGGACAGACGAAGCGGTTGTGTGCGCTGTGGTTTTGATATACAGAACTGAACAATAAATTGTAATCACATTTATGGAAAACGCTATTAATATGCCCGACAAAAATATCGGTAAAATGTAAAGTAGTAGACGCATATGGTTATAAATATTATCCCTAATCCCTTACCATTGCCATGGCAAAGGTTAAAACATAACACACATGATCAAATATTACCCCAAATGTCCAAGCCCCTTAAGGCGTAAATGATCACCAACAAACCAAGCTACCAGCCAGTACTTACATAGATTTTATTACATGTACTACAATCTTAGGAATTTTCTGCGAAATACGTCCTCAGTACATTCTTCCGGCAAGAATAAAGAACACGATTTCCTGCGGTGAGTGAAGGAGACCTAATTGGGTTGTACTTTTATTACACGAGTTTCCTAGTATGCTAAATAGTAGCACAACAAGACTGCGACAACCGCACAGCGCGTCCTGGGGTCGCACGTGCAAGACACAGCATCCAGAAATGGATGGCTAACCAGAATTTAGATATGCAGATCGAACAATCTAGAAAGCATGTACGGACAGCTGACAATAGGCTGTCCTCAAGCATATGGATTGGGAGGGTGACACTAACACCTTTCCATAAAATGCTAGCATATTATTTTATATTCCAAAGGGCCTCGAACTCGGATGTCAAGAGAAAATAACAACTGGAAAAATCTAAGTTTAGATGAAAGAATAATATTAAAATGGGTATTAAACAAATAGGATGTGAGGTTGTGGACTAGATTAATCTGGCTGAAGGCAGGGTTCAGTGGTGGTTATTATCTGAGTGGCTTTTAGCTTCTCGAGAAGAACTCTCTTTAATGGAATTAATGCATATAACTTTTTTCTGAGAAATTTTTGGCTCTGTCTCCGTGAAATGCTTGGTACAAGAGTAAATTAAGAAACATAAAGTTAGGACGATGTAGTGAAATATTATGACAGGAAATGATATCGTATTTCCTTAAAGACTAAGGAAATTTAAGTACAGAAATTTAAAACTTTGACATGTGGTAGCGTCGAACCATATGTTATTCTAGTGGATACCACCTGTGTAGGTTATCTACGTGACTGAGTAAAACAGCCATTGAGATTAATAATTCATCCTTCGGTATACACGTCTTGCTTTACCTTGGAGTAGATTGTGGCGAATCACATCCGTAAGTCTTCTATTTGACAAGTAACTTTCATTGAGAAAGTACTAAACCCAATTGTTCTCTAGGTTAAAAAAAACCATTGTTTCTATAAACCAATTCTGCAATTAGAGTACTAGAACGTTGAAGGCAGTTATTTTTAGTATATTTGAAACAAGTTACATTCAAGGTGTGATTTATTGGCTTGTCCTCGGTACGTACCACTAGCGATTAACCCACCGCCTTCGTGTTATTTTCATTAAGGGAAAAATAAATTAAACTACCGTTGCTAGGAGACGAAAGCAGTCCCGAGTCAGAGGTGAAGGTATCTATTTATTGCCGAGGGTATGACAATGTGTTATTTTTTCAAGGATATCGCACACCCCGATGGACGGTGACAGATTACTATGGAGAAATTGTGGAATGATGGAAACACATGGAAAATATATAGATGGCTCAATTGTTCACTTTCTTACCTTCATAATATTAAAAATGTAAAGTTCTGAACATAGCGTTCACGTGGTCTGAGACGTAACCTGGATCCTTGTCACTGTAACACGAGGACCGCGAACTCGAATCCAGCTCGAGGCTACGATGGTACAAGATTTTGCCTTCGCCACTAACTAAACACTTAGACAAGTGCGTAGAACCGCGATTAGTGCTAGACCATATAGCGCGATATGTTTTACGCAAGTTTAATTATCATAAGAATACTGCTCTTATAGCTTAAATATCAGAAGGATAAATACACAAATTAACTGTAAACTGTACACATAAAAATATATTTATGAGTTCCTTATTGCTGCAGAGTTAATGGCCGATTTATTATTCTTTGATGGCACAATTTGTTTAACGCTCGGGTGTAAAAATGTTTACCTTCGTTTCCTCTGTAGCCCCTGTACAAACACTTCAGCTCAAGAGGTTTGTTCACGTTCTTCAAATACACTGCAGTATGAGAATTGCTAAAGCCGAAAATGACACACATAGGAAAATAAAAATGTATTTTTGTATTTAATGTAGGCTATTACAAATGGTAAGTTGGGGGGGGGGGCGTTGTTCATTCTTGGCTAATTACTCGATTCCTTTTTATTGACACAAAAATATTAAACACCGTATCAAAATATTGAAACACATACATCCATATATCGATACATATTTCCCGTCCCTATTTTCAAATGCCAAAAACGAAAATTAAAAATAAAATGTAGCCAGCTGGCGTGGGTCCGTCGTTGACAAACTGGCATTTATACATGCACTATTATCTTCCTCTCCTGAAATGATGCTAAAATCGAAAACTATCTTGAATTTGGTAAGATTTCAGGTTCTCACAGGCGGCGATTATGAAGAAGACTGTTTTCTGGGATGTTGTAGCCTGAATTCTGGTAGAAGTTCGCCGACGTTTCGGAGGAACTTGCTGTCTGTATCATTAAGGTCTACTTGTCTCGTACATTGCCACAAGGTAAAACAAGGGAGATTTCAATGTAGTAAGAGGTATTTCGAGATTAAAATACTATAAAACAGTCGCCAAAGTGACTTGTACACTTTTGCTGCGATTACATTTAAAACAAATTCCGCTTAGTCCTATACTTGATAATTCCTTAAAAGTCAAGATCGGCATTACATTCGTATTACGGTTATATTTATGCTCGCTTTGCTTCCATAATTAAGTCTAATTATGCCATGCAATTAAGGAAATAAATAGACCTAATAAGCAGTAGAAGGAGGACTAGCCTTCACCCAACACCCTGATCGTTTCCGTCATGGAGAGGGGAAACGAAAGACAACACAGCAGATTTTCACTCGCTTAAAACACTGGCGTAATATTTAAGAGTGTTGCAGTCTGTGTCCAGTGTCCGGCGAGCAACGACTCACGTAGTCGCTAGTTCCTGCCAGCTGACTACTTCATAAGGAGGGGAGGGGATAAGGCTGCAGAGACTGTCATTCGCACGCTGAGCGGCCGGCTGAGAGGTCGGCCCAGCTCTGTTTTGTTCGTCGTATTTCGCAGACGGTGGAGACTCACTCTGAGGTCATTAGCATTATGGAAGACCAAGAAATTATAGAACCTGGTGGCGTTACAGGAGAAAGCCCAGGTCAGCTGGACACACAGCAGGCTATCGCAGCATCCCAGCCACTACCGTCACCCCTGTCAGGATGCTACTTGCTTATCGTTGTCGGCGAACCTCACTCACCTGAGCACAAGGAAATCATTCTACAGAGAATTGCTAAAGGTAGGACGTCTCATTTTCATTGTCTTTTGTGTGATCACATGTGAGAGGAATGGGTCTGCAGGGGTTTACCATTTCAGTAGCTGACAAAATGTAGCTACGTCTAATCCTAAAGTAAATTTGAAATTGTATTGTCAGAGGCAGGTTTTGTGAAATTCAACATTCTGATTAGTTAAAATTTATGCAGTGTTGAAACAAAGACACAAGTTTCGTGTAATTATTCCGTTCCTTCTCTACAAAACTAAATTGTTTCTTCAAGTTTCATGGCGCAACAGCTGTATAATACAGAATGACCATGAGAAAACTAATTGACAGTACCTCACTTTTAGGTACTTTACTAAAATGTTGAGGCAGACGTATGTAGTTGTGGTCCATGCCTCCAGATGCAGTCTCAAGTCTGTTACTGGAGATAAATGTTCAGGTCTGGGCTATAGGGAACGTGGGATTTCAGTCTTTGATAAACTCACAGTGAACGGAATTTCGCTTTTGCCTCTGTACGAATTTGATGAATGTGAATGTCAGAAATTACTTGCAGCTGGAACCTACATAAAAATCAGACATCAAACATGCTGAAAAATCTCTATCAAACCAAGGTGATATGGAATCCGACACCTTCTGATCGGAATGCCAGCTTATTAACAATTAGAACACGAAGTCTCTGCAACAAACGAATGATCAGGTTACTCTCTCGAAGATCGAACCCCGGACCTGTAGAGAACTATCGTGCTAAGTTTAACAAAATACTTGTTTATGAAGTCTTACTGTTCTAAAATTAAATTTATAGACTCAGGAAACTGTAAAGATTATAATGTAATCTCCGAACTGTGTAAAATTTGTGTTATAATTTAGGCATTAACTTGCAGGGACTGAACAAGCTCATTATCGCAGACTGTGAGTTGGGTTCAATCATGACTTTCCTAGTTGAAGCAAAATATTCTATGAGTTCTCTAGAGAATTTTGGAAATGAAGAAGTTAACCCGTGGCAGGACAATCATGAACAACGAATGTAAAACAACCGCGTTATCGCCACAGCTTGTAGAAATTAATTATCGAGGGTAAAAGGTCGAAGAATCGCAATTGCCAATGTCGAAAGAGCAAATTCAAATTCAGGAAATTAATATGCAACAGAGACACCGCTGATTTGCAGCATTCAACGACTTTTATGGAGGACGAAACATTTCAAAGACTTGCTCCCAGTGACACTTCAATTATTATGCAGGATTTACTTTTAAATACACATATAAGCATGAATATGGCCTCCCGCTGAAAGTCTGCCACACATTTGGTATTACGACAGCGATTTTTTTCTTATATTTTACAATGAATCTCTCATCCCTGGTAAAATGTAGCATAATTCAGAAGAATTAGAATGGTAGATGTTTACCGACGTTTCAGAGGTTTTTGCTGTCTCCATTACCAGGGGCGTTACAACCCAGAAGACAGCCATATTATTTCCTCATCTTTGTTCGGAATGTGATAATAAACAGCCGACAGTACTTTAAATTATTATCATACACCTAACTACTTCTGAATTATGCTATATTTCACCAGAGATGGGAGACTGACGGCGCCACAACCCAGAAGACATTCATCTTTGTACTGACCGCATTGAGAACCTCGAATCCTACATATGAAGATAGAATTCCGAAGGATACCGGTGCGCTAGATTCTTGTAGCAAATCTGAATGTTGAGATGATTGTCGATGTAGTTCAGTCTAAGTGTTCTGTCGACTGTTTTCATCACAGTCTCCGGAAGAAGAATGTGTTCTAGAATTTATCTTAATAGTGACCAAATGTACGAGAAGTCCATATTCGATAAATACCGGAAGCACATTACGGGTGACTTAATGCGGTTAAATCCCCTTAAGCGATTAAATTTAATTTCTTACCAGGGAAATTATTTAACAAAGACTATAACTTATGTCATTCTATTTAGTTGGGTTCCCTATACAAAGACTGTCTTCGCCTAACACCTTCTTCCTGCGTCCACAGTTATCCTCCTATTATACAATAGCCTGTTTATGCTGATGACTGTAAGTCTATTTCCACTTCTTCAATTCTAAATTAATGTTGCTAATTTTATTCTCCTTTTTACATATAATTTTATAGGAATATTTTCCCGTATTTCCTAAGCCTACAGCATTACTATAATTTATTATCTTATAAACTACCTGTTTAGAAATAGTAAGACATTTTTTTAATTTAAAATTGTTATAACTACCAATAATGCCCGTCAAATCATTATTTTTCTGTCCTGCGAAGACAATAGAAGTCGCATATGGTATGAAAATAGCATATAAAATGATGTAATGCTACCAAGTATGAAGGCCATAGATGGTGGTCGATACCATTTTATGTTGACATGGTGACTGCTGGGGCATGCGAAAGCCAATTAGTACTTCAGTCTTTTGGAGTGTTAAACAAGCAAATGAAAGAATGAGGAAACAAAGTTACAGCCATGGGTCAAAGAAATTGGTGTCGTGTTTTATTAACGCGACCACACTAAAGAGAGGGCAAGAAATTATCGTTACAGTTGCGAAGTAACATTTCCATAAATATGCCTAACTATTCCAGTGGAACAAAATTACGGACTCTTAAGGCTGTGTTGTTATGCCACGGTGGTTTAGCGGTTAGAACGCTGGCATTGTAATCCTGGGGTCTCGGGTTCGATTCCCGGCGGTGCCCGAATTTATAACTTGTGTTGGGCAAGGCCGTGATCTAGGCATCACGGAGTTTTCCTCCGGGGGCTTCCTCGGTTTCTCCGTGGCATCCCAACAATTACTCCATTCACACACAGAAGAAGGCAATGGCAAACCACTTCTGGATCATCTGCCAAGAACGTATATGAACAGGTCCCAGTCCGAGAAAAGGATGGAAGGATCCTCTTCATATGGACCTGTCGTCAGACAGAACACTAAATAATAATAATAAGGCTGTGTTGCTAATGTCATGAAACACTGTTAAGTAGTTGAACGGAGTAATCTAAATTTAAACGTCTCTGATATTTATGAGCAAAAATTCCCCTTCCAAATTTAATGTGTGTTGCTTCGCTTTTATCGTAAAACTTGAACTATCCTACTCTTTAAAGCTGTAACTTTACTGGAAAATAAGATAGGGTGGTATTCAAACGTGGGGTGATTTTATGACACCCTAGTAGGCTATATTTTACCACCGATGATCGACGAAGTGTGGGATTACCAAAAGGGTACTTAGCCATAAACACTCAACTAAGATAAACTAAGGAAAACCTGTTTCTTTCATAAACAGGACTGTTGACACTTAGATATTACGTCACGTGTAACAAATAAACCTTTGCATGAAAGGTTTCTAACATTTTACATTTTACATTTTCAGGAAGTCTATGTCTTCTTTCAGTCAGCCTCTCTCTCTGTCCAGTACCTTCATTAGATGCTTCGAATTACAATAAAACATCAAAGAGTTCTTTGGAGATTATAGTTTTCTTGGATGTTGCGCCTTGCAGTCTGGTAGAAGTTTGCAGACATTTCAGAGGTGCTTACAATCTCCATCATTAGGGCGATGTTTGCCTTAGCAAAACCATGGTGAATATTGTTTTGAATGTATTTCTTTGTATTATATCTTCATTACTTCTGAATGAAATTACACCGCGTATTATCACATTAAAATTTACGTTTCAATACTTTCTCATCTTCACCAGATATTATTAAAACGGCCAAATGAAGGAGGATTAGATGGGTGGGGCATGCAGCATGGGGATGAGAAATGTAGACAGAGTCTTGTTTAGTCGGTCTGAAAAAAAAGAGACTTCTTGAGCGACCTAGGCGTAGAGGGGAGAATATAATATATTAAGTTGGAATGGAATGGATTGGATTAATCTGGCTAAATACAGGGGCCAGTGGCAATGAATCTTCGGGTTTTTATAAGACGGGGAATTTCTTGACTAACTGAATACACTGTCGGTTTCTCAAGAGGGAGTCTATTCCACGTGGTTAGATAATTGACTCGCTAGTTATCTCTACAGACAAAATATATTTCTAGAGAATTTGGGAATTTTACCTTAGTATCACTGTAACACACTGTAAGAGATTTATAAATTCTTTAGTACACTCAACAAATTTGGACAATACATCTGTTCTATTTTTTGTTAGCTTTACAAATTTCAATTTTTCTTAGAGCGAAGTTCTAAAAGAGACTTTAATGAACTGGATTTTTCTAATGGCTGAAGAATGCAGGGTATGTTATCAAGAAGGGGAACAAAGTAAATACATTATTTTTATTGTATTTCATTCTTTCGTCTCTTGCCCTGTCTTAATCACCGCTGGAGAGGATGGAAAGGTTTCTAGATAGAATTGTAACAAACAAGAAACTTCTAGATAGAGCTGGGGCTGCTTCTAGAGCGGAACTGTTATTGATGTGAGGTTACAAATGTACGATAGGGGATTGTGGTTTCTTGTTACCCTTGAAGAGACAGAAAATAACATTTACTCTCAGTTGGAAAGTTTTGATTACTTGTCGGAAAGAAATGGCTTTGTGCAGAAGTAATATCGCACTTGGAGTTAACATTTCAATTTATCTTCCACAGTTTCTTCGGCGAATGTTGTGCGCTTTTCAGGTCGTATTATTCACTAAACTCAACGTCAGGGGTTTTTCGTTTGTTCGTTGTCATCAAAGTACACCTCGTCGCAGCATCTTTGGCACATTAGGACTAAGAGAGATTTTCTTAGCTCCTGCGTCAAGACCGGCACTGGGGCCTACCCAGTCTCCTGTTAAAGATATCGGGGGTTATTTCCCCATTATTCAAGTGGATGAGACGTAAAGCTGACCTCTTTTCTCCATATAGTGTCGGGATCAATAAGGTGTGGAGCTATACCTCCACTGTCTACCCCATACGTTATCATGGCGTGTTCTTTAATAGATAACAGAAGGAAATTTTCCTTCACCTCGAGTTCAGAAAGGACGAAGGCCACGTTCCTTTCCAGCTGTAGCGTCCATTCCTGAGTTTGATGAACTCTTTGTACATATTA